TGGGGCAGACACCGGCGCAGCCCGTCCCGGTGGTGGGATTCTCGTGCTGGTGAAATGACTCGGGGCTGAAAGTGGGGCTGGGGGTCCTGCACCGGGCACCCCGGGACCCGGATGACGTCTCTGTGGGGCTGTGACCCTCCCCGGGACACAACCCCCCGCTCGGGACCTTCTCCCTCCCCCCGGCTCTGGTTTGACACCCCCTTTTGCTGTGGTGGGTGCAGAGCCTGAACCCTCGGGGGGGTATCTGGGTGAGGGTGGGAGCCATGTGGTGGGGTCACCCCGGGGCTCTGTGGGGGCCCACGGTGCTGCCCCCCCTCCTGCCCCTTCTCTGCACCACTCTGGCCCACCCTGTGCCAGACCCTGACCCACAAGCTCCCCACACACGTGTGTGCACCTGCTGGGGGGGCACGGGGTGGTGTCCCCATGGAGAGGGTGGGCTACCCCGGCCCCGCTCAAGGGAATCATAGAATTGCCCAGGCTGGAAGGGACCTCCAAAGGCCATCTAGTCCGACCCCCCCGCAGTCAGCAGGGACACCCCCAACTAGACAAGGTTGCCCAGGGCCTCGTCGAGCCTCTCCTTGAATATCTCTAGGGAAGGGGCCTCAACCACCTCCCTGGGCAACCTGTTCCAGTGCTCCACCACCCTCACAGTGAAGAACCTGCTCCTCATCTCCAGTCTAAATCTGTTCCCCTCCAGCTTGAGGTCCCTGTTGCCCCTGTAGGGCGCTGGCCCTGCCCCTGTGTGTGCCTTGGGGCAGGTGATCCCCTTCCCACCCTGAAGGTGATCCCTGTCACCATCACTCCCCAGTGCAGCCCCTTCTGCAGGTCCCCAGGGGTCTTGTCGGAGCTTCTGGCGCAGGGGTCGGTGGCAGGGACGGGAGGGGTGTGCACCCTGGCATCCTCTGCCCGGGATGGTGGTGGTGGTGGCCGTGTTACAGCTCCTGCAGTGGGGATACGTGTTGGGATGGACCCTGGGGAGCTGCTGGGATGAAGAACAGCCGGTTTTGTGGTGGGGGCTGAGCAGGGAACTCGGTGCTGCGGCTTTGAGGTGGCCCTGAGCCTCCCTGCGCCGTCACCCTCTTCTCCTTTCGCAAATCTCTGCATCGCTGCTTGGGTTTTCCGCCTCCAGGGCTGGCTTTGAAAGCTCTCCAGGGGAGCGGAGCCAAGTCCTCCCGACAGCCTCCTGGGAGCTCTGGCCGTGCCTGCCCGCAGCAGGGACCTGCTTTGTTGGAGAAGAACAGTTTTTCGATGGGCGTGTGGGAGTGGGGGCAGCTCCTGTGGCATGTCAGGGTGGTGTCTGTCACAAATCTGTGACTCTTCTGCTGGTGATAACACTGTTGATGTGACCTGTGCAACGCCACCGGTCACCCAGCTTCCTCGTAGCTTCCTCCTGCTCCTGGCACTGCAGGGAAAAGGGGTGTCACCATCCTTTCGGGCCCTCTCCAGTGATTCCCCCATTCCCATTGTCCCTGGAGCTGTTGTGTGTGTGGTGGGTGCAGGTGAGGGTTGTTCAGGTGCCTCCAAGAGTCGGGGCAGCGGATGGGGGGTGGTTGTAGGGTGGCTCTAGGGCAGCCCTGGTTTGGGTACAGCTCTTGGGGTGTGCAGAGCTGCCAGCGAGGCCGGACCCGGCTCGTGCTCTGCCCTCGCAGAGCAGCTAAAGAAAGATGAACTTTAGCTCTTGAGCTACTTTTAGCACCTTCGCTCCCAGCTCCGGGCAGCGTGTTTACCCCGGGGTTTGCATCACGGCCCTGGCTGCGACGGCTGCTCCCTGGCCCCGTTCCAGAGCCGGGAGGAGAGAGAGAAACCGCAGAGACGGGCGAGCCCGGCGGAGTCGGAAAACTTCAACCCTCAGATCTCCCAGCCCAGGAGAAGGAGGGTTCCCGGTGGTGGGGGCTGGCTGGGGAGAGGCTCCTGCGTGGGGCCGGGGGGGGCTGCCCAGGTCAGAGCTTCCCTCGGGCTGCAGAGGGGTGTCCCTTTTCCTGGGGGGCAGTGGGTGCTTTGGGTTGGTGCTGGAGGAGCTGGAGCTTGGTGCTGCCCCAAAGGAGACAATGTCTCCTCTCAGCCCCTTAGGAGGGAGAGGAAGGTTTTGGCTGCTTCCTCCCTGCTCCCAGCAGGTCCTGCCTCCTGCATCCCCCCAACTCGGCGATGGGGTGGTGGCCACCATCCAGGGGCTCCTGTTGCCCGCTGTGGCAGAGCCATCTCTACTGGTGTGAGCCCATGTTCTACCAAAGCACATCTCAGGGCTCTCTTCAGCCCGTTGCTCTTGCGGCAGCGAGGAGGGGGGGTCCCTGTGTCCGGCTGGGGGTGACCTGGGGGCTGTGAAAACCTCAGTGTGACCTGCTGAGACCTCCCTGGAGGTGAGAGCTGGCTGCAGCCGAGGGGATGGGGAGCGGAGGCCACGTCCTGCCCCCGGTCCCTGCAGGCTGCAGCCCTGCTCCTGCACCGGGGGAACCCTCCGTGGCTCCTCTGTGCTGGTGCCCGTGGTCTGCAGCGGCTTCCTCGGCTGCTCTCCCTGCGTGACCCCCGAGGGGGGGACGAGGCAGCTCCTGTTTCATGACGTGTTAGTTCTCTTTTTCGGGGCTGGCGGTGCTGGGGCCCTGCCGGGGCCCTGCTTCCTGCAGCCGCCGAGCATGCGCGGCACCGGGGGCACCCCGCACCGGAGAGGGGCCCGGCTGCCACCGTGGCTTGTCCTGGGCCCTCTGTGGCAACCAGAAGTGGCCGATTCCCATCCAAATGGGGCTACCACCTGGGAGCTTTTCCCTCAGCATGTCAGTGCTCTGCAGGCCGGGGCAGAAATACCCAGACTGTGGCTTCTTAGTGGAAGATCTGCTTGGATCAGAGGTTCAGGGAAGTGTCTGGTTCAGCTGCTGCAGCCCCAGAGAGTCTGAGCCACTCCACTGGGGTGTGATGGGGAATGGGGTGGCCCCTCTCACTGGTGATAGGGGACTCTGGTGGCTTGGAGGTTTCAGCTCTTGCCTGGCCCCTGGATTTATTGGGGTTTTTCTCCCCAGAAGCACCACCACAGGGTTCATGCTGGAGCAGCTTCCAGGGCTGGTTAAAAGGGCAGTGAGTGCAGCGCAGCTGGGAGAGCTCCTGTGCCACTGCTGCAGGCAAATCACAGAATCACAGAATTATCTAGGCTGGAAGAGACCCTCGGGATCGAGTCCAGCCATCCACCCTACTCTAAAGTTCTCCCCTACACCATATCCCCCAACACCACATCTAAACGGTTCTTAAACACAGCCAGGGATGGTGACTCAACCCCCTCCCTGGGCAGCCTATTCCAATGCCCGGCCACTCTCTCTGTGAAGAATTGTTTCCTAATGTCTAGAAAAGAAATGTTTCCTAATGGCCGGCAAAGAGCTGGAGCCACTGCAAAATGGGGGCTCCAAGGCCGTGCCCGGTCCCCGTGGCCCTGTCATGTCAAACCAGGCCCTGCTCTGAGGCCGAAGGAGTCTGTTGTTCACAGGCTCCTGCATGGACCAGTGTCTCTCTCCTCCCTTTCTCTTATTGCTCTGTTAGAGCCAGGCCTAGTTCACGTGCTCCGTGCTGGGGGTTACACCAGAGGGTGGTTGTTCAAGGTTCAGGTCCTGGGGAAGAGACAACTCTTCTTGGGGCTCCTCAAAGCTGGGGAGTTCCCCAAACCTCTTTAACTCCACATCAAGGTCCTGTGTCTGTCTTTGTGTCTGGTCCTCAACAGAATGTCTCCTCTTTTCTCTCTTCTTACAAAAACCATCCAGAAAAACAGGGAAAAGATCGGGAAGAGCATGATGTACAGTGATGCTGAAGGTGCCTGGTGGCTGTTTTGGAGGCTCAAACCTCCCGGTGCTGGCACTGGTGAGGCCTCACCTTGAGTGCTGTGTCCAGTTTTGGGCCCCCTACCATAAAAAAGACATTGAGGTGCTGGAGCGGGTCCAGAGAAGGGGGACAAAGATGGTGAGGGGTCTGGAGAATAAGTCTTATGAGGAGAGGCTGAGGGAGCTGGGGGTGTTCAGCCTGGAGAAGAGGAGGCTGAGGGGAGACCTTATTGCTCTCTACAACTCCCTGAAAGGAGGGGGTAGAGAGGTGGGGGTTGGTCTCTTCTCTCAAGTCACAGGCGACAGGACAAGAGGAAATGGCCTCAAGTTGCACCAGGGGAGGTTCAGGCTGGATATCAGGAAAAATTTTTTCACTGAAAGGGTTCTCAGGCATTGGAATGGGCTGCCCAGGGAGGTGGTGGAGGCCCCATCCCTGGAGGTGTTCAAAAGACGGGTTGATGTAGTGCTGGGAGGTCTGGTTTAGTGATGGTGATGCTCCTTGTTTGTTGTGCGGGTGTCTATTTTTGTCAGTTAGGTTGACGGTTGGACAAGATGATCTTTAAGGTCCCTTCCAACCCAGAAGACTCTGTGATTCTGTGAAAAGCAAACAGCTCTCTGCAGGGAGGTGACTTCGTGCCGGTGTCGAGCAGAACTGGGTTCCCCCGCTCCCGCCGTCCCCTCGTTAGCGTGGCTTTGATTCCCACCGTGGCACAAGTCTCTAACTTGAAAATTGCTCCTTCCTTGTTTCTGTTGCTTCCTGGCAGTCTCCGCCTTCTGCTCTTCCCGGCAGCTCTGCAGCTCTTCCCGGCCTCCCGCAGCAGGGCCAGGCATGCGCTGGGGGGGCCCCGGGGGGACATTGGCATCGCATTAAAGGCTCCTACCTGTGGCTAGTGACCTCCCTGCCCCAGAGCCCTGCCTTTTTCCCTGGGAGAGAAGGTAGGGAAGCTTTGGGAAATGGTGCCTCTCTGGAGGAGGAAGCTTTGCAGAAGGGAGGCACTCGGGAATTTTGCTCTCTGCGGGGAAGCTCGGGGCTCTCAGGCCGAAGCTGGATGCATGGAAGCTCCTGGAGCTGCATTCCCTGTGTCAGGAGAGAGCCCCTGTGTGTCCCCGAGGGGTTTGGTGGCGTTCAGAGCTGTCTGTGATTTAAGTCTGACCTGACCCTTGGTGTGAGGGGCAGCGTGAAGCGAGGCTTCTTCCCCCTTGGGGTCTGTAAGAGGGGCTGCGTCGGGTCTGACCTGCCGGGGCTGTGCCCCCCATCCTGGGGGCTGGGGAGGGAGGATGAGGCTGAGCTCGGGGTGCGGGGGCTGAAGCTCTCAGCTGGTGCAAATGGTCACCGGTGCCAGGGCGAGCTCTGCCCTTCTCATCTCAGATGTTTCCGATTAGCTTGGTGACGCGTGGTGAAAAGAGAATGAGTCAGAATCCGGGCTTTATTGGGCTTTGTTCAGGGCAAAGCAAAACATTTCGCCGCTGCAATTCTCGGGAAGCTCGGCCAGGCTGGGGCCAAGGCTGCCTTCCGTGCTGGATTTGGAGCTGAGCTCTGGGATGGAGCGGTGCTGTGGGGCCCCTGCAGCCTGGGGGGGGTTGCTTTGCCACGTTCTGCGCTGCCGGGGGCTCCGGTGTGGGACGTGGATGTTGTGAAAAGGGCTTTTCTCCTCACAGCCAGGCTGGTTCCTTCCCTGCCCTCCCCGGTGCTTCCCATTATTCCCCCAGTTTCGCTCTGCGGTTCCACCTTCCTGTGACCCGGACCAGCCCGTGGCACTTCCCTGCAGCTGGTGGCCACTCTCCCCTTGCTGGAGCCCAGCCTGGGGGCACAAACCGGTGCTGGTCCCAAGGCTCCTTGAACTGGTCCCGTGGCTGGTGGCTCAGGGGCGGTTTGGCTGGAGAGGAACCAGCTCCTGGAGGCACGAGTGGCTCTGCAGGGACACGGGGCCTGGGCACATCCCTGGAGGGGTGTTGGGGCTCTGTAGTGTGGTGGGCTCAGAGCTGGGCACACGGTGTCTGCCCTGACCCTGGGCTACCCTCGGAGGGATGGGCACTTGCCCACACCAGCCCTCCTGGAGTGCCCCGACTGTCTCTAGTTCTGGCCCCATTGCTCTCCCCAAAGGGGAGCAGTGGCCATGGCTGGGTCCCACCAAAGGAGGGGAGGTGGGAGGCTGCTGGGTGCCAGCTCCACGTGCCCATGGTGCCCATGGTCCCAGCAGGTCTCCGGAGCCGGCCAGGATGGCGCAGTGGAACCAGCTGCAGCAGCTCGACACGCGGTACCTGGAGCAGCTCCACCAGCTCTACAGCGACAGCTTCCCCATGGAGCTGCGGCAGTTCCTGGCCCCGTGGATCGAGAGCCAGGACTGGTAAGGCCTTGCGAAACGCTGAGGTGGGGACTTTGCTCGGGACACCCACCCTTGGGTGCCAGCAGGCACCCAGGTGGCTCTGAGGAGCTCTACAACCTTCCCCGGGCACTGGATGTGGTTTCTTGAGGCTTGTGTGGCGCGGAGGGGAGGGGGACTCTGGTGTCAGACCCTGGACCAGGAGAAGGGGGTGCTGCAGAGAGGAGGTGTCCCCATCCAGGGCTGTCTGGCGTTGGCCTCTATTGTAAACAAGGTTGTCACAAAGCACCAGTCCCTGGAGCCCGTCCAGGGAGCACGTGGGGCTGGCGAGGTGCTCCTGTGTGCTGGCTGGTGGCCAGACCCCAGCCTGAGCCCAATGCCCTCCCTGGTTGCCCTGCCCTCGCGGGCACAGACTGAGGGCTCATGGAGCGAGTCAGGCCAGCTCTGACCCTGCCGTGGCACGGGCTGGGGAGGTGGTGGGGGGCTTATATTGCGTGGGGGGCATGAGCAGAGCCGTCCTGCCGTGCCCCTTCCCCTGCGCTGGTACCCAGGACCTTGCCCCCCCCCTCCCCCTCCTCCTGCAGGGCATACGCAGCCAGCAAGGAGTCGCACGCCACGCTGGTGTTCCACAACCTGCTGGGGGAGATCGACCAGCAGTACAGCCGCTTCCTGCAGGAGTCCAACGTCCTCTACCAGCACAACCTGCGCCGCATCAAGCAGTTCCTGCAGGTGAGGTGGGGGAGCATGGGTTTGGGGGGGCTGGGGGGGAGCCTGTGGAAGTCCAGGGGCTTCCTCAGCAGCTCAAGACCCACAGCCCCAAAGGGTGCAGAGATCCTGGGAGTTACGTTGTGCCTGCTGACCTTGGGGTTTTGAACCTCTTACAGAGCAGGTACTTGGAGAAGCCGATGGAAATCGCCCGCATCGTGGCTCGTTGCCTGTGGGAAGAGTCCCGGCTCCTCCAGACGGCTGCCACCGCTGCCCAGGTCAGTGGCCAGGGTGCCCTGGGGTACTGGGTGCAGTGGGGAAGCTGCAGTCCGAAGTTCCTTGCTTATTCCCCCCAGAAATGGGAGCTCCTTTGTGTGAGGGATGGTCCCGGGGATAACTTCTGCTCTCCTGTGCCGCCTGGAGCTGATGCTGCGAGTGGGCACCCAGCCCCACTGGCTTTTGTTAGCAAGGCGGGGGGGTCAAGATCCTTCCTGCAAAGCCTCCTCGGGCTGGGAGGGGAACATCCCTGGGTCATGGCCCTTTTCTGACACCCTCCTTGTCCCCTCTGCAGCAAGGGGGACAGGCCACGCATCCAACGGCGGCTGTTGTGACGGAAAAGCAGCAGATGCTGGAGCAGCACCTGCAGGATGTGAGGAAGAGAGTGCAGGTAGGTGTGCTGCCCGGGCACCTTCTCCTTCCCTCACTGCCAGGAGGTAGTGCTTTGGATAAATCCACATCTCTTGCCCTGCAGGATCTGGAGCAGAAGATGAAAGTGGTGGAAAATCTACAGGATGACTTTGATTTTAACTACAAGACTTTGAAAAGCCAAGGAGGTAATGGCAGCTCGTTAGCGTCTGGCAAACCAAAGTGTGTTCCTGCAAGGAAACTAGCTGGAGGGCACGTTCCAGCCCCACCGGTGCCTCCTCTCCCAGCCAGAAGGGTGGCTTGGGCTCGGGAATTTGCATGGCAATTGGAGAAACCTTGTCTCTGCTTCTGCTGCTGCCTTAGGGGGAGCTGAGCCAGAGCCTGTGGAGGTGATGGCTCTGCTGTGCTTGCAGGGAAGATGCTCGGAGGCTGTGTGAGATCCCTGCTTAGCTATTAACGAGGCTATTAATGGCTCCTTGGCAGTCTTTAGTTTGTGTGGTGCTTTGGGAGGGCAGGAGGAGCCCAGTGCTGGTCTGAAGCTCTCCCGTCTCCGCACAGACATGCAGGATCTGAACGGGAACAACCAGTCGGTGACCAGGCAGAAGATGCAGCAGCTGGAGCAAATGCTGACGGCGCTGGACCAGATGCGAAGGGTACGTGGTGCTGGGCCTCCAGACCCCCCTCCGTGGTGCAGGGCTACCTCCCTGGGCTACGAGTTTGTGTTCCTGTGTGGCCAGAACTGAGAGCAGCTGGGAACGCAGCCCTGGGCGGCTTCTTTCTTGCCTGTGAATGTGAAACTTGCAGATCTCGGAGGGTGTTGAAGGTTCTGCTTTTTTTTTTTTTTTTTCCCTTGCCATTTTGATGAGAAGTGTAGGACACCTGAATCCATTGAAAATATGTAGTTGAAATTTTTTTTTTTTTTTCCCCTGTGCAGGGAATTGTGAGCGAGCTGGCGGGGCTGCTGTCAGCCATGGAGTACGTGCAGAAGATGCTGGCAGATGAGGAGCTGGCAGACTGGAAGAGGCGGCAGCAGATTGCTTGCATCGGTGGCCCCCCCAACATCTGCTTAGACCGGCTGGAGAACTGGTAGGTGCTGCCCCGGGGGTGACATCAGTCCCTAGAGAGGGGCCTCCGAACACCCGTGGTGGAAATGAGTATTGTGTGCAGGTCTGGAGCCCTCAATATAAGAAGGACATGGACCTGATGGAGCGGGTCCAGAGGAGGGCCACAAGGATGATCAGGGGGATGGAGCACCTCTGCTACGAGGACAGGCTGAGGGAGCTGGGGTTGTTCAGCCTGGAGAAGAGGAGGCTCCGGGGAGACCTAATAGCGACCTTCCAGTACCTGAGGGGGCTACAGGAAGGCTGGGGAGAACCTGTTTAGAAAGGCCTGCAGTGACGAGACGAGGGACAATGGCTTCAAGCTGGAGGGGAACAGATTTAGACTGGAGATGAGGAGAGGGTTCTTCACTGTGAGGGTGGTGGAGCACTGGAACAGGTTGCCCAGGGAGGTGGTTGAGGCCCCATCCCTGGAGATATTCAAGGTGAGGCTCGACGAGGCCCTGGGCAACCTGGTCTAGTTGGGGGTGTCCCTGCTGACTGCGGGGGGGTGGGACTAGATGGCCTTTGGAGGTCCCTTCCCGCCTGGGCAATTCTATGATTCTGTGATTCTCTCTGCCCCTGGAAATATCCTCACAAAAGGGCTCCTGGTGCTGTGAGTGTAAATGGGCCACACTGGTTGGATCGATCCCCAACAGCAGGCAATGGTGCTGGAGTGACTTACCCCGAGCCTGTGGGGTTTGAGGCTGAGAAGTTTGTGGTCCTTGGTGTGTCTCTGCAGAACTCGGGCAGGTTTCTTTTGTAATGCACAGCTCAGAAAAACACAGTGGGTCAGGAGCCACAGACGTGTTCTGTTTGGTACAGAGGGTGTCCTCCCTGGCACGAGCTGGGGCAGAGTGGGGGGCTCTGTGGGCTGGGATGGGGCAGCCACCACTAACACTGCTTTTCCTGCTCCCCCCAGGATAACCTCTCTCGCCGAATCACAGCTCCAGACCCGGCAGCAGATCAAGAAGTTGGAAGAACTGCAGCAGAAAGTGTCCTACAAGGGGGACCCCATTGTCCAGCACCGGCCCATGCTGGAGGAGCGGATTGTGGAGCTGTTCAGGAACCTGATGAAAAGGTGCTGGGGGTTTGGGGGGGGGCTGCGGGCAGTGCCCTGGTCACGGGTGGAGGGGGTGGGCAGTGAGTGAGCTGTGGAGGTTTGACTGTGGTTCTTGTGCTCTCCTCTGCAGCGCTTTCGTGGTGGAGAGGCAGCCCTGCATGCCCATGCACCCTGACAGGCCCCTCGTCATCAAAACTGGGGTGCAGTTCACCACCAAAGTCAGGTGAGTGTCACTGGTGGGTGATCCCGCTGTGGGTGAGGGGAAGGGGCTGTGTTTTGGGGGGGAAACAGAGCGGGATTTCTCTCTCTGAAGAAGGTGATGGTGCTGATGCAGCCCCCAGCTTGGCTCTGCCAGGATTTGGGTCAATCCTGCTGCCGGGGAAGGGAGCCTCAGCGTGTCCCTGGCCCCCCCAGCCAGCCCCTGGTCCCCCGCACCCTCTACAGAGAGTGGCTGCTGCGACTCCAGGCTCTGGCACCATCCCTGGCTGTGCCCCCACTGTGCCCGTGGCAGCATCTGGCCACAGAGCAGTGTGGAGGGTGTTTGGGCAGGGGGGGCTCAGGGGAGTGTCAACACCCCCATGGCTCTGGGGACAAGGTGAGGGCTGACATGTCAAGGGGGGGCTCAGGGATGTGGAGGAGCTGGGTAAAAACACATCCCTGTGAGCTTGGTGGTGTGAGCTGCTCTGCATCCAGCTGTTCTCGGTATCTGCCAGATGTTTGTGTGTGCAGGGTGCTCACACTCACACTCTGCTGACTCTCTGCAGGTTGTTGGTCAAGTTTCCAGAGCTGAACTATCAGCTGAAAATTAAAGTCTGCATTGACAAGTGAGTCCCGTGCCCTGATGCTGGTGGCACTGGGTGGGGTTACTGGAGTGGGACTGGTTCCTGCTGCCATTGGAGGGTGTGGGGTGATGCTGGGTCCCAGGGGACAGCCTGGGGGGGTCTGGACTTGTGTTGTGATGCACCAGCCCCACACACCAGCGTGTCTGTGTCAGGGTGGGAAGGCCGTGGCCATGACCAGGTGTCTCTCCCCTTTCCTAGGGACTCCGGGGATGTTGCAGCGCTTCGGGGGTAAGTGCAATAGTGGTTTGGTTTTCTTTTCTTCTCTTTTTATTTTTTTTCTTCTTTTTCTCACTTCTGCTTTTAATCCTGGCAAACGTCCTGCTGCACGTTTGCTCTGAGGGCCCTGGCAGCCACGCTCCCTCTTTTTCCTCTTTCAAGGTCCCGGAAGTTTAACATCCTGGGGACAAACACCAAGGTCATGAACATGGAGGAGTCGAACAACGGCAGCCTCTCCGCGGAGTTCAAGCACCTGGTAGGTCCCAGGAGCCCTGGGCTGCTCTCGTGGAGGCCACGTGCCCTCATGGTGAGGCTTCAGCCCGTTCCTCCTCTCCACAGACCCTGCGGGAGCAGCGATGTGGGAATGGAGGCCGAGCCAACTGCGACGTGAGTGCTGGGGGGTCCCTGGTGTGAGAGCCCTTTGCTGGCAACTCTGCTCCCCAGCTCGCAGCTGAGCCTCGAGGAGAAGCAGGAGCACTGCCCTTTGTGGGGGGGGAGACCATTGGCAGCTGCCAGAACAGCCCTGTCCCCCCCAGGGGGGCTGGTGGCCATGTGTCAGGCCAAGGGCTGGCATCTCCTCCATGCTCATTGTGTCCTCTTCCACACTTAGGCCTCGCTGATAGTCACCGAGGAGCTGCACCTCATCACCTTTGAGACAGAGGTGTATCACCAGGGGCTGAAGATAGACCTGGAGGTGAGCTGGGGGTTTCTGCCTCTTGCTGCTGCAGGCCTGGGCACAGAGGAGCCCTGGGAGATGTCCCAGCCCATGCTGATGTCCTGTCTTTGCAGACCCACTCGCTGCCCGTGGTGGTCATCTCCAACATCTGCCAGATGCCCAATGCCTGGGCGTCCATCCTGTGGTACAACATGCTGACCAACAACCCCAAGGTAGGGCTTTGGGACCAGAGCATCACAGCAGGCAGGAGAAGGAAGCTGTGGCCTGGGAGCAGGGCTGGGGCAGGACCTGGTTCTGCTTCTGTCCCCACGTCTTGCTCAGGGCTGTCTTTTTTCCCTTGTATAGAACGTGAACTTCTTCACCAAGCCGCCCATCGGGACCTGGGACCAGGTGGCAGAGGTGCTGAGCTGGCAGTTCTCCTCCACCACGAAGCGTGGCCTCAGCATCGAGCAGCTGACGACGCTGGCAGAGAAGCTCCTAGGTAACCCAGAACAGGTGTCCTACCTGTCACCTGCTGCCCCCCAACTCCCTGGAAAGGGTGTCCTTGGAAGGACAGCTCAGTCTGACCCTTGGTGCTCCTCTTCCTCTCTGCCAGGGCCAGGTGTGAATTACTCCGGCTGTCAGATCACTTGGGCCAAGTTCTGCAAGGTATGACTCCCTCTCCTCCCCCAACGCCTTCCCTTGGCTGATCCCTTCCTCTGGGCCATGCTCACGGCCTCTCTGCCCTCCTCCTCAGGAGAACATGGCTGGCAAAGGCTTCTCTTTCTGGGTCTGGCTGGACAACATCATCGACTTGGTGAAAAAGTACATCCTGGCGCTGTGGAACGAAGGGTGAGCCTCAGCCGGCGTTGGTTTGGGGACACTTGGTCAGGCTGGGCCTTGGTTGGGCTCCCATGAGGCCTGTCCTGGTGCAGGTGGGCTCCCAGGGATGCTTCTCCTGGCTGGGTCAGGGTGAAAACCCACCTGGGAATCCATAAAATGTTGGTGGTGGGCCAGGTCCTCCTGGCAGGGTTCGTGTCCCGGAGCAGCAGATGAATTGATGTCCTCACCCACCCGTGCTCTTCTCTCTCCCCAACCCCAGGTACATCATGGGGTTCATCAGCAAGGAGCGGGAGCGAGCCATCCTCAGCACCAAGCCCCCGGGGACCTTCCTGCTGCGCTTCAGCGAGAGCAGCAAGGAGGGTGGCATCACCTTCACCTGGGTGGAGAAGGACATCAGTGGTACGTGCTCTCCCCCTCGCTGTCCTCACCACCTGGCTCTGTGGGGAGCTCAGACCAGGGCAATGTCCCTTCATAAGACACTTGTCCTTTGTCCTTGTCCTCACAAAGGCCTCTCCCCTGGGTTAAATCTTTGAGCCTGGGTGCCCTTTGCTGGTTCCTGGGTGCCCCTGTCCATCTTCTACTGGGGTGTCTCTGTCTTGTCCCTGTGGCTCCTGGGGGGGTTTGTGGGAGGCCCTGCCTTTGTCCAAGGAAGGTCCAGCCCCATGTCACTGGTCCCCTCACGCAGGGAAGACACAGATCCAGTCCGTGGAGCCCTACACCAAGCAGCAGCTGAACAACATGTCGTTTGCGGAGATCATCATGGGCTACAAGATCATGGATGCCACCAACATCCTGGTGTCCCCCCTGGTGTACCTGTACCCCGACATCCCCAAGGAGGAGGCGTTTGGGAAGTACTGCCGCTCCGAGAGCCAGGAGCACTCCGAAGCTACTGACTCAGGTAGTCGTTGACTTTCCTTGCTCTGGAACATCTCCGGTGTTGGGAGGTGGCTCCAGGGACAGCACTGGTGGAAGAGTGTCCCCAACTGGGATCCTGTGCTGGTCCTTGAAGGGCAGTGAGAGCTGGGGGTGGGCTCAGGGAAGGGGGGGGGTCCTTCTCCAGCAGCCAGTGACGAGGCTGCTCCCTCCTCCCCAGGTGCAGCTCCATATCTGAAGACCAAGTTCATCTGTGTCACCCCGTAAGTGTTCCTGGGGGGGTCTGGGGGTCCCTTTCCCTGTGCTCAGTCTCTCTTGTGGGGTGTTTCCATCCCACCACCATTCCCCCCACCCCCCCCTCCCTGCTGTCCTGGCAGGGGGAGCCAATGGGGGCTGGTTGGGGCTCTGCTTCTGCCCCAACCGCAGCCTGTTCCTCCCCACCAGGGCCCCTTTCCTCTGCAGAGCTCTCTCGGGAGGGCTGGGCTGTGCCCTGGGGCCCGGGGGGAGGACAAGGGGGGGGGTCTGAGGGCTCTGGCCAGACCCTGACTCCCCTGCTTTCTGTGCTTTTCCCTTCCTGCCCCCGACAGCACCTCCTTCAGCAACAGCATCGACCTGCCCATGTCCCCGCGCACCCTGGACTCGCTCATGCAGTTTGGCAACAACAGCGAGGGCGCGGAGGCCAATGCAGGAGGGCAGTTTGGTGAGTCTGGGGGGGTCCTGGCATGTGGGGAGGATGGGGGGGTGCTGGCTGTAGCCGTGCAGGGGCTCTGTAACCCCCATCTGTGTCTCCCCACAGAGTCGCTGACCTTAGACATGGAGCTGATGCCGGAGTGCGCTTCTTCACCCATGTGAGGTGCTCCACGGGGACCCTGCTGGGACCCAGGCTTCCACCTCCAGAGCCCCCCCCTCGTCTCACCCTGCTTGGTCACGGCTGCTCTGGGCCCTTCCTGGGAAGAGCTGGGGGGGGTCCTCACCACCGATTCCTTGTTTGACCCAAGCGACCACCCCTCTTGTCAGGGTGGTGCTGTTCGTCTCTTTGGGGGGAGGGGAGGATGAACCTTTTTCTATTTCCTTCCGTAACAGTTTTTTATTATTGTTTTGCTCATTCAAGTGCCTATTGCCCCCCCTCGCAGCCTCAGTTCTTACAGATGCTTGTGCAGCCCCCGCCCCGCTGCCCGAAGCTGCTTTCCCTGCTGCCAGAGGCCAAAAGAGGTCCCACCAGCCCTGATTTGCCTCCAGGTGCCCAAGAAGGGATGGGCTGGTGCTGGCCCCCCATCGTGTGACCATGTCCCAGCAGCCCCCCCAGGGTGCAGAGGGGTCTCCTCTCCCCACCTTTGACCAGCACAGGGGACAAGGTGGCCCAGGCGTCCCTACCCTGCTGAGCTCTGCTGCCAGCAGGGAGTTCTGGTGGCCACCATCAGTTGCCACCAACTCCCTGCTGTGGCCACCAGGGTCTGGCCAGCTCCGGCAGTCCCAGGACTCTTGCTGGGACAACTGGTTTCCTTGGGGCAGGGCAGTGATGTGTCCCAGTGCCAGCACACACTGTGCAGAGTGAGACCCCTCAGCTCCCTGGAGGTCTGGATCCAAAGTGACCAGCAATAGAGGGTCTGGCTTGGCCCTTTCCCCTCTGGGTGTGGCTAGTGCTGGCCCAGGCAGTGGGTTTGCAGCTTCTTGGGGGCTTCAGGTGGCATTTTTGTTAGAGGTGGCTGTGGCTGGCAAGGTAGGAGGTGGCAGGAGTTGAAGGGAGCAGGATGGAGGTAGGGAGAGGGCTGGGCTCTTGGCCAGCGCTGGAGGGAGACGTGGGTGTTGCAAAGGGCAGGTTTCCTGCCCTGGGGGGGGGTCGAGGGTTGTGGTTCTGTACATCCCCACGCGGGGGGAGCCCTGCCCTTTCCACGCAGGGCCATGCAGATGCTGATGAGTGAGGAAGAGGAGGGAGAGGAAGCAGGAGAGCTGCCTTCCCACCCCTTCCTCCCCTCCCCAAGTAGGCTGTGGCCTCTGTGGGCAGATACTTGGGGAAGGGGGGGGGGCTGTGGGGCCTGGGCCACCCCTGGTCCCTGTCTGTGGCCAGGAGATGGTGGCTGTGGCAGCCCCCGGGGCCAGGAAGCCCCCTTGAAGTTGGGAGGTGCTCAGAGGGGATCTGCCCCCCCCTGCTCGCGTGTAGCTGCCTCCAGCTGCAGTCCCTGGAGCCCTGGGCAGCACCCGATACTGTAAAAAAACTTTATTTTTTTGTATATTTTATTGCTGTATCTACAGGCTTTAACTTTCTCCAAAATAAAGGCTCCCAAGCGAGGTGCTCTGGTGGGGGTGTGAGTTCAGCCTCTTCGCCCCCCCCTCCCTGCTCCGGGAAGCGGGGCCTCTCGCCGTCCCCCGCGCCGGTGCTGCGGTTGGGATGCGGTGCTGCCCCGGCAGAGCGTGGGCCGGCGGCGCTCGGGGGGCTGCTGGGGGGGGCATCACCCCACACTGGGTTCTCTCTGCCCCCGAGCAGCTCTAGGGCTCCTTCACTTGCGTCAAGGAAACTCTGGAGGCGGCTGCGTGGGGCCCTGCTCCGGCTGCTCCATGGGGCCCCACCGGGACCCTCTGCCATGGGGGGCCCCCCATGGGCGCTGGGGAGGGGTGGTTGTCCCCCCTGTCCCTCTCCTGGGGTGGCTGTGGGGCTCAGGGCTGCAGCGTGGGCCTGTCCTGCCCTCTCGTGGGGACACCCCGCACCCAGCACCCTGTGGGGACAGACCCTGGTTCTGGGGGGGGCAGTGGGGCCCAGGCTCTGTGGGGCCAGGAGTGACTGGATAGTGATGTCCTCCCCCTAGACCCCCCCCATCTCTCTCTGGACCCCCAGCCCTCAGCACCCCTGTCTCACTGGGACTCGGATGAGGCCCCAGAGGGAGAGATTATCGCTCTGTCAGGGCAGGATTAGTGGGGGGATTTTTCATGCAGGTCATGCTCAATAAATCCCCCCACAAGCCCCCGTGGGCCTGGTGGCACTGGGCTGGTTTGAGAGGCCTCCCCATGCCCAGAGCATCCTGATGGGGTTTGAGTCCAGGACCAGTCCCTGCTCTGGGAACCAGCCCCTTCAGGACCCCCCCATTTCACCACCAAAACTCTCTGGACCCCCAGCCCTCAGCACCCCTGTCTCACTGGGACTCGGATGAGGCCCCAGAGGGAGAGATTATCGCTCTGTCAGGGCAGGATTAGTGGGGGGATTTTTCATGCAGGTCATGCTCAATAAATCCCCCCACAAGCCCCCGTGGGCCTGGTGGCACTGGGCTGGTTTGAGAGGCCTCCCCATGCCCAGAGCATCCTGATGGGGTTTGAGTCCAGGACCAGTCCCTGCTCTGGGAACCAGCCCCTTCAGGACCCCCCCATTTCACCACCAAAACAGCTGGCAAACCCCTTCCTGCCCCACATGGGACCCTGTGCCCACTCTGGGCAGCACAGCCAGGGGGGTGGCTCACATGGGAATGTGCCCCAAGGACCCCCCCCCTTTCCTTCCCAGCTCCCCTCTGCCAGCTGCAGGATGGGGTGGAAAACCCCAGAAGAGGGAATTTTCTTCCCGCTACGCAAACCCTGGGGTTGCCACAACCGTTTGCCGTCGGGAACGTGGTGTCCCGTCCCACGCTCCTGCAGATCAGTGGTTCCTTATCTCCCTGTGCCCACACGCCCTGCCCCATCCCTGTCGGAACCTGCCCCGCTCCCCGGGGTTGGCGGGGGGGGGAGCCCTGAGTAACAGGGTCCATTGGCCACTGATCCCATCTCGGGGGCTACCATTGGGAATGCTCGAGTTGGCCAGTGCCACCGTCTGGTTTGCAGCAGGAGAAAGCGCCTGGGGAAGGTCCTGGTGGTGGTGTGGCACCTGGGGGCATCTTCCACCCCTCTGTTCCCCCCCCCGACCATCCCTGGGGGGGCTGCAGATGTGTAGGGCTGGGTTCCCCCCTTTCTCCCCACAGCGGGAGCCATCAGGGGCCGGTGCCGGGGAATGGGGTTGTTTGTGGCTCCGAAAGGAGGTCACGGGGGTGGCTTTGCCCCTTCCCCAGGGCTGTGTGTCCATCCCCCCCCTCCCCTGGCAGTGGGGCTGGTGTCTGAGCCAAACGTGCAAACGGATTAGGGGTTTCCAAATGCAGATAAGCCGCTTGGGACACAGACGTTTGCGTGACAGGGACGGGGTGGCCCCGCGGGGACGGGCGGCCACCTGCCCTGTGCCACGGGGAGCCCGGGGCTGGCGCGGGGCCACGGCTGTAGCCAGCCAAGCCCTGGGGTCCCACTAGCCCCGGGCCAACCCAGCCAGTGCCATGCTGGCAATTCCTGGGGTATGGACCTGCAGATGAGGATCGGTGAGACTATGGCAGAGCCACGGTTACAGCCCCGGTGCCCAGTGACCCAACGGATGGCGGAGACCCTGTGGGGAGCAGCACTGCCCCACGGCCCTGCCCCACAGCATCTGCCATCTGTAGGGTCGCCCAGCTGGTGTGTGGAGCTCAGACAGGGCTGGTGGAGCTGTGAAATGCTGCTCTGTACCTGCTGGTTTGCTGGAGGGGGTGGGCACGGCCATCTCCTCTTCCATCCTCCCCCTCTCCAGGCGTGTGCTGCCATCGAGGTGGAAGGGGGCACGAGCGGTGGGATGCTCTGCCCCAAAAACCCATCCAAGCCTCCTCCTCACCCTGCCCTCCTGGAAGGCGGCGTTGGGCAGAGCACCAGGCCATCGCTGCCCCAAGCCAACGGCCATCCCTGCCTCCCAACGCTCATAAAACAAGTCAAATATTGCATCACTCTCAAACTTTAATACGCAGCAGAACTGGGCCAAGCAAGGTCTCGGCGGCGGCGCCCGCTGCCAGGTGTGGCAGGGGTCAGACCTGGAGCAGCCACACGGGCACAGCGCGGTCCCCAAATGCCACCAGTGCTGCCAGGCCAGAGGGACATGACCTGCCCGTTTTCTCACGTTCATCCCACCCCAGAGCGTGGTGTCGGGCTGTGCCGGTGCCGGTGCCAACACCAAGGGCTGGGCTCACCCCGAGCTCAGGGGAAAGGGCCCCAAGGCTGGACCCCACACAGCTCCTGACCATCCCCACGGACCAACGCTGCTCCCGAGCTCAGCTTGGGGGGCTGCTGGTGTTTGGCCAAAATCACGTCCCAAGCTCTACCTGCCCCGAGCTACGACACACACACACCCCCCCAGGGCTCCTCCGGTGGGGTTTTCTCCCCTGTTTTCTCTCCAGAGACATGGGTTCCTTGGTGTCCCTCAGCACAAACCCCTCTGCATCTCCCTGCCTTCACCCAGGCACGTCAGCTCTGCTGGAAACCCCCCAGCACAGGGAGTGTGAGATGTCCCCTCCCCTCCACCGACCCCAGACCCCATGGGCAGTGCCCACGGCAGCCCCATGGCCCCCACCTCATCCCGCTGCCGGGCAGGATGGATCCATGGCTGCCTTTCTCCTCGGAGCTGCCCGGTCGGCATCTCTTCCACCTCTGGCTGCTGTGGGGGCAGGTCCCATCCCTGGGGGGGATTCGGGGTTGCTCTCGCTTTTGGGTTCCTGCTGCTTTTGGGTTCCTGCTTTCCCTCCCACGGCAGCGCGTCGATGGCAGGAGGCGGCTGGGACCGAGCGGTTACTGTGGCAACCTGGGCTCTGCCGCAGGGACCACTTGGGCCAGCGCAGGGATGCAGTGCAGGGTGGGGGGCCTGGTTCTGCCCTGGTGGCCCCACTCCTGGTGCCCCCCAGCCAGCCCCAGCCCTGGGGGAGGCATGAGCTGGGATTGTTCAACCTGGAGAAGAGAAGGCTCCGGGGAGACCTAATAGCGGCCTTTCAATATCTGAAGGGTGCCTATAGAAGAGCTGGGGAGGGACTCTTTGCCAGGAAGGGTAATGATAGGACAAGGGGAAACGGTTTTAAATTGGAAGAAAAAAGATTCAGATTAGATCTCAGGAAGAAATTTTTAACTCTGAGGGTGGTGAGACACTGGAACAGGTTGCCCAGGGAAGTTGTGGCTGCCCCATCCCTGGAGGGGTTCAAGGCCAGGCTGGATGGGGCCTTGAGCAACCTGCTCTGGTGGGAGGTGTCCCTTCCCAGGGCAGGGGGGTTGGAACTGGATGATCTTTGAGGTCCCTTCCAACCCAAACCATTCTATGATTGTATGAGATGCTCGTGCCCTGGGTGCCGGCTGGGCCATGGGTGCTGGCCAGGACCCCTGTGCCCCCCGGTGTGCAGCAGCACTCACCAGGCTGATGGGGGGCTCCGTTTCCCATCTCAGACCCAGATTGGCCCTTATTGCCCCGTGCTTTTCAGTGGGCAGAGACCTGGATGGTTTTTCCGAGCTGGGTGAGCGGTGCGAGGGAACAAAGAGGCTCTGCCCAGGCAGGAACACCCACGGGCTGCTGAGGCCCAGCCTTTGCTGGGGGTTGTTCCCAGCCATATCCGAGTGGCTGGAAGCAGAGGTTTCCTGTGGAAATTCCCCCCCTTGGCCAAAATGCCATTTTCCAGCTTTTTGCTGGAGCAGGTCGTTCCCTCCCACTGGCACGAGGGACCTTGGGGCTGAGCCTGCGCCGGTGACGAGCTTCTGACAGTGATGAGTTTCCCGGGTGCCCCCCGCTTTCCCTGCCCGTGGGCTCTGGTCCGTGCTGGCCGTGCCCTGGCAGGGTCCCTGCTGGCCATCCATCCCCCGGTCAGCACCAGCCCTACCCTCCCCAAGCCACCCGTGGGACATTCTCTGCCATTCCCAGGATTTGGCATCCTCTCCCTCCCTCTATGGTGGGATCAGAGCCCCACGGGGCCCATCCAGGCCAGTTCTCCGATGGGGATCACATCCTTGGGCTGTGCCAAGGATGGCAGGAAAATGGGCTGGCAGGAAATGACTTCTGGGGTGGCCGTGGCAAAAAATAGCCCGTCCATCTTCAGCCCGACCCCTCTGCGTCATGCCCATGTCCCAGGGGATGGCAGGGCCATCCTGACCATGGGCAGGCTGTTCCCTGCGCCCAGTGGCCACCTCAGCTTTGGCAGCACCGGGTGCATCCCTGTCCCTCCGGGGGGAGGATTTATGGCCGGTGTCAGGGAAATGGGGACATGCTGTGCCCGGACACCAGGACAACACTTTCCTGGGGCAGACCCCTGGGAATTGGAACCACAAGGCAATGGCTTTGGCTCTTCGCTGCCGCCTGAGGCTCTTGCTCCTGCGCAGAGCCCGGGGGGAGCAGATGCTGCTGGGGGTGAGGAGCCGGGGATGGCGCTGGCTGGAGATCCCAGAGCGGCTCTGGTGCCGGGAAACCCTCTGCAGGGGGGATGGCTGTGGCTGGAGGAGCTCGCATGGC